CATTCCCCACCCCCAAACCACCTTCCTCCTTACTCCTGGTCACTACTTCCCACTTCACCAGATGACCCCTCTTTTCCTCTCCAGGTTCCCAAAGAAAACCCCTCATTACCTTTTCTAACAAGTTATCCACTTTTTTGGGGATCTTAGAGACAGAGAGGTAATACACCAGTTAACTTACCACCTAAAGAGATGTAATTCCGCTTCCAAGCTGCTAATCAAGGTTAAGTAGTTCATCCAGAAAGCCTTTGAACCAACTCAACTCTTCCTTCCCCATGACAATCATTGCTCTCTTATCTTCCCTAATCTTCAGACTCCTCTTGCCTTGTGCTCTTGCTTCCTCGAGGAGGATCCTCTTCTTTTCCATCTTGATCACTTTTTTCCACTTGTTTGTTTGGATGAAGTTGTCCATTTTACGCAGGTTCAAAAAGACATTCATCAGTTATAATATGCTTACTAAGGCCACTACCTGCATTACATCTCTTCTCCAAATTAATTTTCAGATTCGAAATTTTCTTGAAGTGACTAATTGATTCTAGACCTTTGAATTGACAACTTAATTGGGTTTAACATTTTGGTATGATTCTCGTAGCTGTTTGAAGTTTCTATAATTTTTTGTGGATTTTTTTCAAGGAGAAAATTGTAGAAATTCTAGATTTGATTTGGAGCTTTATGCAACATGTTTAATGGAGTTTTTTGTTGCAAAACCTAGACCATTTGGGTCGTTTTACGTTTTGGGAATGACAAGAAGTGGCCCCATAATTTTCTAAACCTTAAACAATTTTTGGGAGATTCTTCTCCCTTTATTTTGTCATTAACCTAGTTTTTTGGTCTCCTTATGTCTCTTAACCAATGGTAACCTAACTAGGTCTCCTTGTGTCTCTTAATTGTGTCGTAACCTATCTTCTTGGGTCCTTTTACTTTGGTTGAGTATTGGGGATTCCTTTGGTTGATGAGAAAGTGTTTTTATAGAGTACAAAATCATCCAAGGATGTATAAATGGGTTCTAATGTGCTCTCGGGTAATACATATATTTCTAGTGGTATAATAACCACTATTAAAATTGATGAAACCAACTTTTTGGAGTGGTCCCAATTTGCTAAGGTTATCATTATAGGGAGGGGTAAACTAGGATTCATTATAGGAAAGGAGGTGAAGCTAAAACTTGAAGATTTGAAATTTGCAAAGTGGGAGCAAGATAACTCCCTTGTAATGTCATGGCTCATTTGCGCAATGCAACCTCATATTGCCCGTAAATACATATTTTTTCCAATTGCTAAGGACATTTGGGATAGGGTTGTTGCCACTTACTCCTAGGTTAACAATACTACTAGAGTGTACCAACTTTAGAGGGAGGTTTGTAGTATGCATCAAAGGGAGAGATCTATGGCCATGTATTTTTCTTCTCTATAGTTTATTTGGGAATAAATGTATCACTTGAAGGCTCTACTGTGGAAGGACCTTGAAGATGGTGAAACTGAGTTCAAGGTTCAACTTTGAAAATGAGTTAAACATATTTGGAAACAAAAGTTTGTTCCGAAATAGACTATAGAGAACAAACAAACAAGATTGGACTCTCTTCTGTTATCCTGTTCCTCCTTCCTCTCATCCTTGTAACGATGGTATTCCTTCGCCTCCTCCTCCTCTAGTGTATTGGCCTCGGTCCCAGTAGTAGTTTTTCGTCGGGTGTAGGAAGAGGGTAGCTCTTGAAGTTGAATGCCTATCACAATTTGATCTCCCAGAGTTCCAGACTTGGGTAATCTTGAACCCTCTGATAATTTTGTTATTGATCCTAACCTTGATCTTTCTATTGCCATCCGAAAAGGAAGAGGGCATGCAACAAGTATCCAACACTAACTGTGTGTTTTATGATGCTCTCTCATCCTCCTATTGTGCCTATATTTCTGTCATTTCTTCTTTTTCCATCCTTCGTAGTGTTACAAAGGCAATGTAGTCCCCTCATTAGAAGGAAGCTATGAATCAAGAGACGGAGGCCTTAATAAGGAACCAGACTTGGGAGATTGTTCTTTGTCCTAAGGATAAGATTCCTATCAGGTGTAAGTGGGTTTACACTATTAAGCACAAGGCAGATGGCTCAATTGAGAGGTACAAGGCTCGGCTTGTGGCCAATGGATACACCTGGACTTATGGCATTGATTATTCGGAAACCATTGCTCCAGTTACTAAAATGAACTCTATTCGTGTGATCATGCCTTCCTTAATGGGGACCCACAACAACAAGTTTATATGGACTTACAACTTGGGGTAAGCTTTCCTAACTGTGAAGGAAAAGTTTGTTGCTTGAAAAAGTCCTTGTATGGGCTCAAACAGTCCCCTAAAGCCTAGTTTAACAAATTTAGAAATGTTGTCTTAAAGATTGGATTCTCTCAATCTTAGGTAGAACACACCTTGTTCATAAAAAGAGTTTATGGTAGAGTAACAATGTTGATAGTATATGTTGATGACATTGTTGTGATGAGCGATGGCATCATAGGTATATCTCAGCTAAAATCCTTCCTTATTTTAGAATTTGAGATTAAGGATCTCAGTGATCTCAGATACTTTCTTGGCATTAAAGTTGTAAGATCCAAGAAGGGAATCTTTCTTTCACAAAGGAAGAATGTTCTTGACTTGCTCCATGAAGTTGGGAAATTGGGGTGTAAGCTTGTAAAAAATACAATTGACCCTAACTACAAGTTGAGTGCTATTAAATGAGAATATATGCATGACTAGACCTGACATTATCTTATGTCAGAGTTCTTCTAAATAGAGGGATATATCAAAGATTTGTGGCTTGTCTCTAGTATTTTTGTTTGACTAGACCTGACATATCTTATGCTGTTAGAGTAGTTAGACAATATATGCATGAACCCAGGATATCTCACATGCAAGCAGTTAATAGAATTTTAGCTTATCTAAAAGGATGCTCTGGTAAAAGGGTGTTGTATTCCAATCATGGTCATCTAAAAATTGAGGCTTACACAGATGCTGGCTGGTAGGGTCCATTGATGATAGAAGATCTACATTTGGTTACTATGCCTTAGTTGGAGGCAATGTGGTTTCATGGAGAAGTAAGAAACAATCGGTTTTTGCTCATTCTAGTGCTTAGGTAGAGTATAGGGCAATGACTCATGGAGTGTCTGAACTACTCTAGTTGAAGACTTTATTGACCGAGATAGGCATCCAAGTAGATACTCTAATAAGACTTTATTGTGACAATCAAGCAACAATATATATTGCTCAGAATCCTGTTCACATGATCGTACAAAGCATATTGAGGTGGACAGACACTTTATTAGAGAAAGAATTTCTAGCATAGAGATTTGCCTTCCATTTGTAAGACCAACTAGTTGATTGCCTCACTAAAGGAGTTCACCATCCAAAGTTTGTTAAGAACCTTGTCAAGTTGGGCATGATTGACATTAGACCTGTTCATGGGCCGCGTGTCCCGACAGACTGGCCCGGCCCGGCCTGACTCCCGGACGGGCTTGAACAGGATTTTTGGCCCGCGGGCTTAACCTCGGGCCAAAAAGCCCGGCCCGACCTATAGTTAAACCTAAGTAAACCCGGCCCGACCTATAGTTAAACCTAAGTAAAAACCCTATGTGATGTCCATTTGAATAAATTTTTTGATTTGAGAAGGTTGTTGATTCACTTGTAGGCCCATTGTTCATTTAAATAGGGGAAAAAAACATCTGAATTAAAATAGATAATGTCTATTTGAATAAGGAAAAATTTGATTTTCTTTTATTAGGTCAGGCTTCGGGCTCGGGCTCGGGCTCGAGCTTCAGGCTTTTTATCAGGGCCGGGCTGGGGCCCAAGTTCTAGGCCCGTTGGTCGGGCCGGGCTCGGGCTCAGGCCTATTATTTTTCTGTTAATGAACACTAAAAGCCCGGCCCGGCCCATGAACAGGTCTAATTGACATATATGTTCAGCTTGAGGGGGAGTATTGATAATGCTTGGGCAAGGGTGTTTTAGTCTTTTCATCATCTTTTTGTATTTGGGCGCCCAAGTAAGGGATTTCTTATAATTTTTCTTCAAAGTATAAATAGTAAGTTTGAGAGTGTGAATATACACACCTCTCATTCAAAACCTTCTTCTTCTTCTTCTACAAACCCTAGATCAACAACTCATGCTAAAATGTTTGTTTAAAAATTTAGTTCAATAGTTAATTTAAGACTTCACTAATCATAATAATAGTTAATATGTCCTCACAATTCAAGATGGAGATGATTTTTGAGAATATTTTTTTGATAAATAGTAGAAGATTTATTAAAGATCAATAAAAGGAGTTAGGGTCTGCTGACCACAACACATTTCTGGCCATGTTCATCCAGCGGCACATTGGGAACATCTCTTGTACTTCATATCACCGATATTCCCGATGTGCGGGATTAGTGTGGTCAGCAGATCTGGACTCCAACAAAAGAGTTACACAGCGAAGGCTTCCCACAGAGGCACGAGATGCAGCTTCAAAAAACAAAACAAAATAAAATGATTTTTGAGAACCTAAAAGTGAAGGAATTTTGATATACATTGGTCATATTTGGTTTTTAAGGATACTCACTTTTCATGATGATAATTAGATATTCCTATCAATGTCTATTTAAGCTTTTTTCTATTGTATATAAATAAATTCCATATTGTTTCCTAATGTTTCTCTAGTTTCCTCAGATTTTCTGGATACCTAAGCAAAATTTATGTAATCCCTTATTTGCACATGGTGAAATGCCTAAACAAGACTGAAACTTTGAACCATGGTATACTGTAGTGGCTGGAAAGAAGGCTCCCTTACATTTATCTAACTTGACTCTTCCACTAGGAGACTTATAGGATTGTTTTGTGCTTTTGTTTAACCTTCTTTCTTCCACTGTTATATTGCTTTACTAATTCTACCTTCCTTTAGGGCAGCTTCTATCTAGACTGTGGTCTATATTTTCATTTTCTTAACCTAGTTGTGATGGCTCAGTTGTTTTCGTTCTGCAAATTTCATTGTTTGGTAGGTGCTAGTGGTCCAGGAAAAGAGTGGCAAATTCCGAGGAACAGGTGTTTGGAAGTTTCCTACTGGAGTTGTTGATGAGGTCTGTTCTCTGAAATTTGTGATTTCATCTTTCTTTAAAGAATATGACAAAACACATATTTTATCTTTCACCTTTAAATGAATACTTTTATGATAGGGTGAAGATATTTGTAAGGGGGCAGTAAGGGAAGTCAAAGAAGAGACAGGAGTAAGTGATAAGCATACAATACATGGTTTTGAGCGAACCTTTTAGTCCAGCAAAAAAAGTGAACTTTCTAGTATGCATTATTTTCAATATATTAAAGACAGTATGGATGATCTTACTGTGAGTTTTGGTTTTTATTGTAACAGATTGATGCAGAATTTGTTGAAGTACTAGCATTCAGGTAGAAAATCATCTCTCTTGCTCTCTCTCTCTCTCCCCCTCACACACACACACATTAAACAAAAAAGGGTGTCATTAATTAGGTGTATTCAACAACTTTTACATGGTAAGTTGGTAACATGATTCAGCCCCCATCTTGGGATTCTTTAACTATTGTCCTTCCATTATTGAATTAGAGTATTGATGTCCTCTTGAACCTTAATGCTGTGTTTCAGGAACAATCTTTCTTTCAATTTGTCTTCCATTAAGTTGGGGTAATAATTTTATTAGGGGTGATCAGGAGCCAGGCCAGATTGCTTGCACAGGTTTGGCTCGGGCCTGTTGAATTCACCTTTTTTTGTTCTCACGTTCAAAATCACATGGTTCACAACTTATCTTCTCTGGACAGGCCAGGATGGTTATGATGGGCAGAATATAGTGTTCTAACTCTTAATGGGGATGTAAATGAAAAACATAAGATATAACATGCCATTTTTTGATATGTGAGCAAAAACAACATTAATATAAATGTGTGAAGATGAGCAATAATCTTTTTACAAAATAGACAAGAAAGCTTTACAGTATAGTATCCTCTACACCCAAAATAGTACGCCACCAAATTACAAAATCCACTCTCTTTGAATAGCAAAAATCTTTAAGAATCAAGGTCGAATCCATCTGACTAATGCTGGCATCTTCCCAAACTTGAGTAAGATCTTTCTCTTTATCATAAAAAAAATTTGGTGAATAAGACAAACAGGATATAGAGAGGATAGTTTCTAGTGGTGAAGAAATAAAGGGGGCGGGGGGAGAAGAGAGAGTTAGAACTTAGAAAAGGAAATAATGTTTGGAGGGATGCTGGGGTGGGATTTGATGATTATCAGGTAAGGGTAGGGGTGGGTGATTTTTGAAGTGGAGGTGGGGGTGGGAGAGATGATAGAAGAAAACAGGAGGTTTACAATAGCAATGAAGTAACAAGTAAAAACTGGAGGATGGGGTAATAGGAAGGGTGGTAGGTAGGGGTGGGGGAATTTGCACTTGGTTTTGAAGGAAAAATAGGAGGAAGTGAGAGTTGGATGTGCAAATAAGAGTGGTAAAATGAAGCGGAGGGTGTCCTAGAGATGTGAATTATTATGCTGAATAGAAGTCATCCAAGGAACTATGGAATTTAGTTGCGGCATGCTATTTTTGGGAGACATTGATGGCATAACATTAATTGATGAAACTAGAGACTGATTAAATGCAAAATTGGATCTATGGACAAGTGCCCTAGAAACAAGAGGTTTTACAATAAGCAGGATTAAAGCAGAATATATGCTGATATGCAAAGTAAATTTAACAATAATAGGACTGGAAATTATGGCACCTTTAGGATTGGAGATCAAAAGGTATCTAAATATGACCTCTTTTATTACCTTTATTTAGCAATCCATAACAAGGGAGAGATTGCATAGGATGTTGTCCATAAAATTAGAGTAGGAGAATACCACTTAGACCAAAAGAAAACTTTTGTAAAATGGTTAAGCAAGCAATTTGATTGAAGTGGTAACTATAAGGGTGGAACATTGGGTAAAAACTTTGAAATTGTTTGTAGATTTTAAAGCCAGAAGACTTCTTCAGATCATGGGGAACAATTGCAAACATTGCTTCTAGAAGACCTATTGTAACTGAATTCTGGTCCCTCCGGATGCTGGGTGGAAGAAACTAAAGTTTGATGGTAGCTGTTTGGGAAACCCTGGCCCATTGGGTATTGGTAGGGGAATAAGGGAAGAGAATGGAAATATCATTGCCATGTTCTCAGGCCCTATTCAGCATGGCGATGTGGTGAATTCAGAACTGAAGGTAGCAGTATGGTGTTGAGAAAGCTAAAGAGTTGGGGATTAACAAGTTGATTATTGAAGGGGACTCAAAAGTAGTTGTAAACTGGCTGAAAAAAAGGGGAAGGAGCAATCTGGAGGCTAAGAAATGAGCTCAGGCACTTTAAGCAGGCTTCTGAAGACATGGAAATTCAAATTAGATGGATTAGGAGATCAGCTAATAGCATGGCTGATGGTCTAGCTAAGCAAGGAGTTCAAAGACAATCTATGTTCTGGTCTATGTTATAGTTAGTGGGGTTTCCTTTGGGTCCTTTAGGGCTTGTTGTAATTAATGAACTTCTTTGTTGGGTTAAGCTTGGGACTGTATTGTATTAGTGGGCTTTCTGTGGACTTTTTGTCTACCCACAACTTCTTGTTGTACACATCCTTTTAATTTCTGTGTTGCTGAAAAAAAAAATGTATGGAGTTAGGTGTTTCATAATCAAGAAACATTTTAGTTGGATGAGTGGGAAGACTAGAAATGTCAGGATTAGAAATGAACTTATTTGAAGGAACCTAGGAATAGCTCTAATAGGTGATAAAATGAGGGTAAGTAGACTATGATGGTTTGGTTATGTGCAAAGAAGATCAGCTATAGCACTAGTGAGCAATGTTTTCAACCCACCGTTGACCTAGCTGGTCTAACTGTCCAAAGTCCAAACTGTCACTCAGCCATGATTCTGGGTTCAGTTCTCTTAAAACTTGACATTCGGTCAAAAACCGTTCACCTGTTCAAAAACCACCTGACCCAGGTGGTTTAACTGTTGATCTGTTTGACCTGGTGATTGGGTCACGGCGCGGGATGCACACTAAAAGTGAATGCAAGCTTCCGAAGGCCATAACTTTGCACTTGGATGTCCAGTTGGGGTGATCTGTTTTTTTTTTTTTTTGGATAACTTTTTGAGCCCTGTTATTTTTGTAAAAAAAACCCTTTTTTGGCCTCAAATTACAATTTTTAATTTTTTAAATTAAAAACTGAATTAAAAATATAAATTAAATATTAAATAATACATATACTATATGTAGAATATAATTATGCATTATTTATTGATAAAATGTGTTTATATACATATATACATATGAATATGCTTATATATATAGAGATGATGTGGCATGGTCTGACCTGTTCAACTTGAAGACTGGTGACCCACAACCTGGAGGCAAAAATGTTTTGGCCTCCGGGTCGGTTTTTAAAGCATTGCTAGTGAGGTGAAGTGATCTATAAAAAGTTGAGGGGTCTAGAACTAGGGGAAGACCAAAAAGGACGTGTTGAATTAGTGAGAAATGATTTAAGAGCCCATAATAAAATGGACATGGCACTGAACATAGCAGAATGGTGGAACAGGATTCATGTAACTGATTCCATATGGTTGGGATAAGGCTTAGTTTAGTTGAGTTGTGTTATTTTTGGGAGACAGTTGCTATCGGTTTGATGTTATTGACAGGGAATTCTATGTTTAGTATCTTCTCAGATTATAATAGGGGTTCTTGGACACGGGAGGAATGGTTGTTTTCTCTCTCTTCTCCCTTGGTGAGTTTTAGGAATGGTTGTTTTTTCTCTCTCCTCTCTTGGTGAATTTTTATCACCTGGCTTTGTATTTTCTTCTTTTTCTTTTAATAAAATTTTCCTTTATTATCAAAAAAATGTGAAGATACATTTCCTTCCATATATGCACTAGAAAATGGCACTTGGAATCGTAACCCACAGCTAGCCTGTCTAGATCCAAAATCCACTGCTGGCCATGATAAGCAGACCTCTCTACTGAATGGTGAGAAAACCAGGAGAAAACAACCAGGAATAATAAGAGTTTCAAAGTGGGGCTGCCATGGATACTGGAGAAACAGATGATATGCCGATTCCTCCAAGTTCTTGCACATGAAACTTTGATTAGGAATGACAAGACCTCCATTGTTAAGTGGTCTATCATAAGAAGCTCATAAAAAAGGAGCTACATGAAAGCCTCTATTGCAGGTGGAACCTGCTTGCCCCAAGCACAGTCTGCATTTATAGAATTAATTATGCTTATTGCTAGCCACATAGAAAGAGTGGACCTACAAATTTCCATCAGGATTTCTCCTTCCATCAAGGAAAATGTAAGAGCTTGATCATTCTTCTGAATCAGAACCGCACATTCATTAATTTCCCTACTTTGTTGAGTTTCAATAAACAGCATAGGTGTCCTTAACTGTGTTGCCCACCTGGGCGGAAACGTGGTATAGTCTTGTACATAGTTTGCACAATTCACTAAAGGCACTCCAATTATCTTCTTAAATATGGATTTTTATGACATCCTCCACTTAGAATTCCATGGAGAGCTAGAAATCATAAGGACCTTCTTAGACTCTAAGAGCTGACAGACCTAGAATACCAACCAAATGGAGCTTCCCCATTCTTGGGTACAATGACTCTTGTCCGTCAGGTTGCTGCCTGTTGTTAGAATCTCCACAGACACTTACCCAGATCAATTATTTGTTATGTCCATATTTCTAAAACTCAACCCATCATAATAACATAAGCAATCCAGGGCTCTTCAGCATGGATATTTGGTTGGGAGCCAAAAAGGGCCTCATTAGTTGTCATGCTGACCTCTGTTCTTGAGTTAAATTTCATCTCCAAATCACTTGCCACATTCCTACAATAAGCCCTTGTTTTGTGGAAATTTTTAGGCCCCATTTGCTTTTCAGGAAGTTACCTGGGTAAATGCACTTACCAGGGTAAGTATTTCCTGGGAAATCTTAACCGGGTAAGTGCATTTACCCATGTTATTTTATTTCCCAGGTAAATAAGAAAATGACCATTTTTTCCATAAAATGCCATTATTAAAAGGGGCAATTTTGTCCTGTCCAAGTGTTGGCAACTATGCCCCCAGGTGGGAAAGTTATCCACCCACCTTGGAGACCCAGGTAAGTGATACCCAGAGAAAATAAATTTTCCGCGGACCCCACATAAATCTGAAAAAATAACATGGTATCTTGGTCAATGGGAACCAAAATCCCATTGACCAACGTTTCCCCCTCTCAAAATCCAAAAAAAGAATGGGCCCTTATATTGAAAATTTGTAACTTTGAGTGGCTACTATTTTCTGCAGAGATCACCAATGAAAAGTGACACACAAGGCTAACACACTGGTGGATTAAAAACTTGGCCAATGTAGAGGGTTACCTACATGATGGATGGTTAGAGTCTGCCACATCATTCCTCCATGTGGAAAAAATAGGGCAGGCCATGTAGGGAAAGCTTCTTACCTGACCCAATTAATCAACTTTTTTTTTTCCCTTCATATAATGAATAATGACTTGTTTGGTGTGATGGCAAAATCTTTGACTGACAAGTATGAGGATGCAGGTTCAAGTTTTAGTAGAGCACCCACCTTATGCTAAAAATGCCAGTGATTAAGTCTTTTATCAATGTGATCACTCCCAAGATCCCATATAGCTGGGGCCGGCATCAGGTGACGACCTTTATATTACCAGGCCTAGATCTTTGAAGTCAGCACTTGGCTAGTCCTATATCTGGGCCTAGGCTGAGACAGGTCTTTGACAAAAAATATAGGCCTTAGCTCTGAATTTCTCAACTGGCGGTTATTATCATCCTTGGTTCTCTCTCTCTCTCCCTCTCTCTCTATCTCTCTCTCTCTCAGACACACACATGGTCAAACATCAATGGCTATGAATTATAAAACAAGCCTTCCTGTATATATAGAAAATAGAAAAATAATAGAAAAATAAACACCATAGAAAAGATGTTTGTTTACAATTTTACATGCTTTACTGAATTTGATAAGTTTGGTCCAAATGTACAGGTTGGAGGAAAAAAACAGAAGAAAGCAATGAAATATTATCCACGATAAAAGTATTATGTTCAAATAATAATAATGCTTAAAATAAGGATTGTAAATAGATAAAGAAACGGAATAAACAAATTGAAGCTGTATAATGTATCAGTTTGAAATGCTACTTTGCAGGTAAAGATCTATATTGCACTCTGATGAATTTCAACTAGGATCAGTTACATCACATTCATAATTATTGGAAGAACATCCAGAAAAATGTCTACTGCCGGGATGGTTGAAACCGCCTCCTGAATATGCACTACATATTGATGTTTTAGCTGCCATGTATTGGCACTAATTACTAATGATGCATGTAATGACAATCATGTAAAAGGATGTTTCCTTTGGTTTTAGTATAGAAGCATGTCATCTGGAAGTTTACTGGTTATCCATTTAATGTGTTTTTCCTAGTCTCTGTTTCAGTCATGAGGCCTTCTCAGACTCTTTTTTTGTACTTAATAGGCAAAGCCACAAGTCATTTTTTGAGAAGTCAGATTTATTCTTCCTGTGCATGTTGCGTCCTCTCTCCTTTGAGATTCAGAAGCAAGATTTAGAGATTGAGGCAGCCCAGGTAATTCCTGATTGATTGATAACAAAATATGAAGCTTCTTTCACAATTTTGAGAATAGGTTGGAAAGCATTCCACGTAAAGTAGCTTAGATGCTTTAACTTCACTGATCTATGCAACCATTGACTTGGTTTTCGTCTTTCATGTGTACTCTGTCTCACCTCTTTGAAATTATTCTTGTGGATTTTAGTTGTCTGACAAGACATAGTATGGTAACCTCTTGGCAAAAGAAAAGGAACAGTAACTAAAAATAGATGATGGATTTTAGAGTCGAAAGTGGAGAATGTGAAGTTGTTCTCTGCTGCTTAAGCAATATACAGTGCATGTATACTGGTCTCCATTGGATGGGCTCCGCATAGTATTTATTTTGTTGCTCAAAATTCAAACTAGGCATGGATGTCCTAGCTAATAGATGTTGTTCTTTAGACTGCTTGATTCTTTTCTATACTTACATGTAGAATAGTGCTGTACACAAATGTCTATATTAGGTCAAATGAAGAATAACTTCAACAATGCTTCAATGTTTTCCTTGTTTATTCAGAATCCTCAGGTTTTGTTTCTCTGTTTTTGCTTCAGTGGATGCCAATTGAAGAATATGCAGCTCAACCGTTTGTCCAACGTCACGAGCTCTTCAAGTACTTTTCTGACATTTGCCTAGCAAAGATAGATGGGGCGTATGCTGGGTTTGCCCCTATATCTACAACAACAAGTTTTTCTGCTAAACCTGGATACATGTACTTCAACACCCGGGACTTTAACCATCATCAGAAATCTGGTAACCATCCCTAGGAAATAATTTTTTCAAATGGCAAATACTATAGCATTCCTTATGTATCATTAAGTAATTTTTTATGAATGTAGCTTTTCATATTTCTTCATCTTATGCTTAAAAGAGAAAGTGTAATTGGTATTAAAGAAGATGGGTGATCTGGCTGAAAAACGAGATATAATGTGTTTGTTCATGCAAATAAAGCTAAACATGAACTCCGCACTTCACGAGATCAACTGACATGTAGATAGGAGTGTGACGAACTGGGCGACCATGTGGCAGTATGGCACCGAATCCAGAATTCAAAAGGAAAGAAGACAAAGAGTCCAAATTACAAGTGAGAGATTGAGATCAAATATCCAAGAGTTCTTTGATTGCCTATAAAAGTCGGTGGTGATGGCTGGTGAGGCAAGATAGAGCACCATCCTCGTCTCTCTCCTGTTTTCTTTACGCTCCATCTCTACTGTTAATAAGGCAATCTTTAAGAGGTTGGAAACAGGATGTCACTGGTGAAGTTCTTACTCCTTGTTGCTCTTTGGCTTTCAGTCTCCGGTGGCAGCTGTGGCGAGACTGGGGAAGTTTCCGGTGATGGTACCCCATCATCGAATGCATGCTTCGATTGCTCTACCTGTCCGTATCCATGCCATAACCTCTCTCCACCACCATCACCACTGCCTGAGTCAGGCTACCCATTATATGGAACTCCTCCACCGCCTGCTGAAGAAAATTGCCCACCACCACCACTGCCTGAGTCAGGCAACTCAATACATGTAACTCCTCCCCCACCGCCTGCTCAAGACAATTGCCCACCACCACCTGTTGCTCAGTGCTGCCAATATCCCCCTCCAAGGCCTTACCAGTATCTACCTTACAGCAACTATTCAGCTCCTTTGCCTTCTAACAGATTCATGAATTTTATCGTCTCTTATATCATCTTATTCTTCGTTGCTTCTCTTCTCTAGGTCTAAGGGATCAGTTTGTTTCAGTCTTTCAGGGTCGTATTTTTTTCTTTTACACTGTATCGCATGTCGTTTATTGAATGTAATAAGCCTTCTTTAAAAATAAATGAAATCTAAAATTTGAAGATAGGTTTATTCTTTATAGAGAACGATTTTTCGTTTGTCTATAAACTGACATCTGACTAATTCAGTGTTGGATTGAAAACTTGTGTCATCTCATAACTTAAATTTAAGGTTCAAAGTGTCAGTATCGCAAAGGGTGTGTATATAGAAAGGCAATTTTAAGCTGATTACTTGTGTTGAAGATTGAAGGTACAAAAGTATGTCTTATAAGAATATATATATACTATATATATTAAAAAAAGAGGCATTTTTGAGATACATATTAGTATGATGCTTAGCAATTGATATAACAAATTTATATGTATCATACAAATGCTTTAATTCTGGTGCATTGGTTGTACGCTTAAATTTAGATCTCAACCAATTAAAATCTGTTTATTTATTTTTTCTCATGGATATAGATTGTTTTTTTTCTAATAGATTAATACTATCAATGAGTTCAGCCAATATAAACTGATTTTCAATGTAAAATGATACCACTGAATGGGAGGAATTCTGAGTACCACGTGCCCACCCCTTGAAAATCCAATCCGATACATTGTATGTTGTATATTGGCTGTGTCAGTGTGTTTTAGGAACATGGAACTTATTATTATTTATGAGATATTATAGAAGATCCCAATTCCGCAGCAGCATGTTGCAATTTAGATAAAATTGATCTGAACGTTTGTCAAAATTTTGAATAGACCCGAGCCCAAAGTGTTGGTTGGGGATTTGATTCCAACAAACCAACTAACACACCAACGATGAGCCCAAATGCTAGCCCGATGTTAATAAGAATTTTCAGCTCAGGCACCTTGCTTCCATTGATGGTGGTAAAACAACCAAATTACAAAAACCTACCGCATGTATAGTCCTACCGTATTGTCCATGTATAATCCTACCGCATGCCTACTCTTGTAAAGCCAATTTAATAAAATTGCCAAGACACGACGACGAATCTTTTTGTTTTTCTTAGGGTAAAATATAAAAACCTCCCCTGAAATTTCTGACAATCATAAAAACCTCTCTTATAGTTTTATTTTAACAAAAACCTTCCTTAAAGTTTCTGACAATCATAAAAACCTCCTCTATAGTTTTATTTTAGCAAAAACCTTTCCTTTATTTTTGATAAAATTAACAAATGTCTTCTTTCTCTTAATGATCAAGATGGAAAACGTTTATTCAAAATGCCTATTTTACCCTTTCTCGAATACTATTCATCTTCTTCCCCGTTCAAACCCAGAAGCAGAGGTAGCTGCGAATCCGATCTCTTCCTCTTCTCTCATCTTACCTCTTGGCTTGTACTTGTTGATAATCATGGCGGACAGCGAAGTGATCAGACTGAACAAACTACAATCTACGACTAGTATACCAATGTCCTTAGGCTTCACAGAGGTATTGGAGAAGAGGTTTTCTAGAGTGCCAAGCATGACCTGCTCGGCTTCCTCCCTAGCGTTATCCATCGTCGGCCGTGGAGGAATGTAACACATCGCGTCAGCAACGTGCGTCTCCTCCCCGAGTCCGGAGCGCTCGAGGATCTCGCATTGGAACTTGAGCGAAGAAATCCCTAATGAGCCTTGAGTGTTCCATGAAATCCTTGAAGTTAACCCTCAGGGCTAAGGGGGGGAGGTAGCAGGAAAAGTCCATCAGATACACGGGGCGTGGTCGCCTCATGAAATAGATGGTAGCACCCAATATAAGCAGTGTAGAGCAAATGGCGACACTCACCAAATATGAGATAACTCAAGGATATCCTCTACGCTCAACTGCGACGCCTGGACCAAGGTCACAACCATCATCGGAACAAGAGATAAAGTGACAAGATATTTCATCAAGTAATGATACCCCAACTTCACATATTTAACGCTCACGCTTTGTATGAAATCAGCCAACCTCCGACTCTATCGGCTTGAATGCCGCTTCCTTCACCGGCACCACCATTTTTGGTGGCTTGAGCTCCGACTCATGGCGAATTGGTGACTGAGCCTAGTGGTTCTAAACACTAATTGAGCGGTGAAATCATTAAAATAAATGCATTTTTATGTAGGCAGCAAACCAAGCTTCAAAATAGCTTGCCGAAAAATTATTAAAAAACCAGTCTGAGAGAGATCTTTAGTTCTTTACCGAGTGAATACAAAATAAGGTACACAACACACACATAGATTTGGAAGCTTCTTTGAGGGTTTCTGTGCGTATCCTGGACTCCTCAGCTTATAATTTAGTCCAAGCTTCCAACCATCAAATTAATTGCGGACAAAGGAATAATTAATGCAAACACACAGTAGATCATTAAGATGGTAGAAAATAAGGAGAGAATGGCGGAAGGGGAGAGGTTTCGCATGGAGCACCGCCGCTGCTGAGAGTTGCAGTGGCGGTGGTAAAAAACAGGGGCGGTAGAAGGGGAAAATGTTAGAAGAAACTTTAGGAGAGGAGGTTTTTGTTAAAATGAAACTATAAGAAAGATTTTTATGATTATCAGAAACTTTAGGAGAGGATTTTGCATTTTACCTTTTTTTTTTTAACAAGAAAAATCAAAACTATGGGTGGCAGCTGGTTTACCATTTCTATTGGAAGAATATAAGTTTATAGAGAAAGACACAACTTATTAGATTATTAACTTCAAGTTGGAGTGGTATTCAGTTGTTTATATTTTGCTTGAGCAGATAATATATTGAATGCAATAAGTCACTAACCCTGTCGTTGTCAGGTTTTCTTTGGTTTAATCCACATGATCGGATAACCAACTCCATAACATATATATCATGTATGTGAAGGTGTCGTCATAATTGCCAAACCCAACAGAAACAGAGTAAGCAAAAAACTAATTTCCATGAATGTTGAGTAATCAGTAATTAATTAATGAATATAGGTACAATGTCATCACTGTGAATTCATATTAAACCTATGGGCATTTTGATAATTGGGCGGATCACTCTTCCTATATTATGTTATTAACCTTGGTACCCATCAACCAGAAGTTGAACAAGTAGCAAAGCGAGAGGGCGATCGAGTCGACATCGACTCATCCAGTCATCATCAATTCTTAGCGGAATCACTGCGGTGGATCGATCAGCGTTGCGGCGATCAACGATGGTTATCTTCCAAGGCAAATGGGTTAAGGTCAGTGTCTCTGCTTTTCTTTCTTTCTGATTCTTCTTCTGCTGGGTTTACTTCACCTAAACTTTAGAAAGCTTTCACAAATTACCCATGAATTTCTGTGATGCATCTTTAAAATTGCGCAGTGGAGTTGGTAGATTGGACTATTCGGTCTCAGGAAAGCCCGAGAGAGTTCAGTTTACTTCATCGTGTTGTGGGTTGTATTTTTCTTGAATTCGAACGGTGCTGATAATTTATCGAGTTGATCCTTTCTCACTGAAGGGAGATAGCCCTAATCCCCCAAACATCTTAAAAGATTGTTTGAGGTCTTAAACCTCACCTTCCAGGGTTTTGGAAAACTGGTTTTTCCCAATTTGAATGGTTCTTCCGTGTAAACCACACATTGCTCGTTTTTCTTATCCATTTGTTTTTTCTGTTACTCTGTGTTGTTATCTGCGATTTGCGAACATCAGCTTGGACAGAAGGGGACGGGGCCGGGTGCGAGAAGCTCACATGCCATCGTAGTGGTAGGGCAGAAGGCTTACGTTTTCGGTGGTGAGTTCACGCCTCGTGCCCCTGTTGACAACAAGCTTCATGTGTTCGACCTCCACGACCTCTCATGGTCCGTCGTTGATGCCACCGGAGACAGCCCCCCGCCACGGGTTGGTGTCACCATGGTCGCTGTTGGTGGGACCATCTATGTCTTCGGTGGTAGGGACAGTGACCACAAGGAGCTCAATGAGCTCTACTCCTTCGACACCTCCACCAGCGAGTGGACCCTACTCTCCAGCGGAGACACAGGACCTGATCACCGGAGCTACCACTCTATGACCGCCGACGATCGCCGGGTGTACGTTTTCGGCGGCTGCGGTGTTGCCGGACGACTAAACGATCTTTGGGCGTTTGACATCAACGATCGCAAGTGGATCAAATTCCCGGTACCTGGGGAGAACTGCCGGGCTCGAGGTGGTCCTGGTTTGGCGGTCTCCGGCGGGAAGATCTGGGTGGTTTATGGATTCTCGGGAGAGGAGCTCGATGACGTACACTGCTTTGACCCCATCAGTGAGCAGTGGACAGAGGTGGAGTCAACAGGTGAGAAACCATCACCTCGAAGCGTATTCTCAACGGTTTGGATCGGGCGATACATATTTGTTTACGGTGGTGAGGTGGATCCGAGCGACAAGGGCCACCTGGGAGCTGGCAAGTTCGCGTCCGAAGTCTACGCGTTGGACACGGAGACGCTAGTGTGGAGTCGATGGGAGGATGTGTCAGATTCCGAGGAGCATCCTGGGCCGCGCGGGTGGTGCGCATTCTCTGCCGGACGGCGAGATGGTTGCGAGGGATTATTGGTGTATGGCGGAAACTCGCCGAGCAACGACAGGCTTGATGGCATATTCTTCTTTACTCCTTACCTTGATGACGGGGATAAGAAGTGATGATGATGATGATGATGTGATGACGATGAATGAATAGTCGTAGAGTGTGTGGTTCTGTGGGTATTGATGTGGATGCAACTTGTGGGCGTGGGTTGAAAGTTGTCTAAGCAGGAAGCACGCTTTAAGGTGGTGGACATTGTATCAGAGACAAAAGGATGTGAACATATATCTATTCAAGTCCAAGATGGAATAATATGCAATTGAATGAGTGTGATTGTGGAATCTTCTGTTTGTTTTTTTGGCCTACTTTACTTCTTGGGACTCTTTCCATTAGATCCACGGTTATTTGGTTTCCATATAATAGATGATTTTTTTTTTAATTTTCATCAATAAATATTGTAATTTTTTAGAGAACCCATTAACACCTCCCCTCACTTCATTAAAAATAATAAAAAAAGAAAACTTCATTGATAATTTCTGAAACTACCATTGACTTATTGAACCTCCTTTCAAGACATTCTAATAAATGGCAAATTAAAAAAATGCAAAATTATTATGTAGTCATGTAGTGTGGTATTCACATATGTGTATTTTAATATATCCAAAATGTATTTAAATAATGACCGCTTCTATAAATTAATAAAAGGGAAAATTCTTGATTAGTACCTGTAGTCATTAATAAGAAATGAACAGTCCCAAGTCCTTGCGTCTTCTATTCAGGTAGCCTCAATTTTCTTGAATAGAAAATGCAAGGATTTGGGACTGTTTATTTCTTATAACATTTGGATGGTTGATAAAAAAAATTAGACACTCGGAGGATATCTGTGTCTTTTCAAATGTCACTTAATGGTTGCTTAATGAAGGTATTAAATTGGCACGTTTTAAAAGTTCAAATACTGAATTATTGTATTTTAAAATTTATGAATCAAACTGACACTAGACCCAAAATACATAGTACTAGTAGGAAATTTTCCATTAATAAAATGACACCGTCTGTGACACTGATCCACAGATATGGACCTGAAAAAATGTTGAGCGTGAAGATATATCAATTTAGGTTTTGGTATAATAAGTGAACGGTGATGATCTAGTCAATTTTCCATTTCTCTCTTATTTTCTCTATTAGACATACCATAATGAACATCACTGCACACCTAGTTCTGCCACTGGGAAGAATTCTTCGACCACAACAGAACCATCATCCACTGGATAGGAAACCTTCATATTAACAGCGTATGTAATCTCCCAAGAGTTCTGCATGAGGTTGCAAACTTTAACCCGTCTGATAGTATGACTGAAATTTTTCAAGTTGGGCAATCCAAAATTCTAAATTTCATCCAAACTTGCATCATGTCTTTTCTTCCTATCTGTCTTTTCTTATGAGTCAACTTTGTAATTTAATCAACACTTGTACACTCTCCATCGGCTTCACTGCAGACATGACTCTCATTAATCAGCACTAGCTACATCAGCGTCACGTCTTTGGAAAGTGGGTAAGGTGTGGTATCAGAAAATATTTTTTTTTTTAAATGTTTTTCGTTTTTCTGCTGTTGCTAAATCAAATGTTGATGTGTTTTGAAAAATACTTGGCTATGTTTGATTTGAAAGAAAAGATAAGGAAAGGAAGGAAAAGATAAAGAAACCCCTACAAGGTTTGTAAAGGTTTTCTATCTTTCCTTCCCTTTCTCTACTTTTCCCTTTAAATCAAACACAGCTTTATGTCGCATCAATGATAAAAAAAAAAATAATAATAATAATATTTTCTAAAAAAATTACATACCAGAAAACAGTACTGGAGAAACAATACCAATTCCAAACATTGCGATATAGGCGCGAATAAGGGTGTCTTACTAGTTTATTGAAGCCTTTCAATTCAATTTATAATAATTTAGATTAACTGAAGGCGATGATAATATAATGACCATGGAATCAATGATAATACCTCATGCGAAGCATAAATGCTAAGTGAGGGATTGAATGATTTAGCCCTATGATTGGCATGGGGTTGTGGGGCCCCAAAATTTCACAAATTGTTTTCAATGTTCAAATGAAAAAAGAAAGGAAAAGAATACATATGATTTTTGATAAACTCTGAAGAAAAGGGATTCATTTCTACCTCCATTTTGTGAGGGAGTTACATACCTCTATTATAGAATTTCAATCTTATGAAATTGTTGCTTTCAATGTCGTTGTTAATTAGGTTTAACAGTAACAGTTATCGTCAAAGCGAGTTATAAAATATCTTTTATTTTCTTTTTCTTTTTTTTGTTTATCAATAGAATTTGTATGTTGTTTTGATTTTAATTGAAATTTTCCTTTTTCATAAAGAAAAAAAATTGTTATACTTTTATTATTATTTGTAAATTGTGAAAATATTTTTAATTCATTAAATTTTGAACTTTTACTTTCATACGTCATAAAATTTCTAGGCTAAATGAGTAAATTTTTAAAATTAGCTTTAATTATTTTCTCCCATAGAGCCTACCTACTATTATTTTTTCTTTCTTTTAGTAGTTTCAATATATATATATATATATATATATATATATTTTTTTTTTCTTTTGTGGTTTTGATTGGTATGTGAACTTTGTTTTTAATAGAGATATGACAAAATGGACGGTAGGGAATTAGAATCATTAGAATAAACCATTTTATGGAATTATGAATTATAGAAGGGTTCATTTTGACTAATTTTGAGTGCATATCTGCTACTGTATTTTCCTTCCGCTAAATCTTGGGTCTGGACCACTAGTTGGACCTGGGCTGGGCGGCTGGGCTATAGTTTTCCATCTGTTCCAGTTCTACCTTTCAACTTTCAATAACACGATTGGATGCATCGTTCCTTCTGGTTGTATTGCATATAATTGCATTGTTTTTTGGCCCGTCTAATGTTTTTGTTGGAGCCCATCGATTGGTGGATCCTAATTCTTGAAACCTTGGACAGGCAATGAGCTTTGGGGACCCAGACCCATCTATGGGTTCTTCTCCTCAAACCCAATACCCCTTTTTATTCCTTAATAAATTTTTTATGAAAATAAAAATAATTTTGTATATGAGAACTATATATAATTACTTTTTACAATGATTTTCTTCTTTTTTATAAGCCATATATAGTGTTGGTAGTTGAAATTTCATATTTGCCTCGGCTTCAGTTCAATAAGAGGAGCACCTCGGCTTCGGAAAAATGGTAAATTGCTAAATTCACTCTCAAAGTTTTTGACTGTTGTTGAAACATCTTCTAAAGTTTGGTAATTGTAATTACCTCCCCTGAACTTTCAGACATAGTTGCAAGTAGACCCCTTATATTAGAATGCTCTCACAAAGATGTCCAAAATACCCATACAATTACTATTGAGGCTGGTTTCTACAAAAAACAATACAAACTTTATAATCAACAGAAAAAATATAAAAAATTTAAAGTTGTAGCTTTACCTTTAAGCGATTGATATCAAGGGCAAATTTGAAAAATAAATCAAATTCAGAAAAGAGATCGAAAGGGTTTGGTCTAGCGATTCATATGAAAAGAAAATTTGGAAATAAATATTTTGGTCAAAAGCAACTGTGTAGGTAGTAAGGACATTTTTATTTATTTATTTTTGAAGGCAAACATGCCTTTCGTCAAAGTGATGACAACCTAAATTCATTCAATTAACCTACTCGGTATTACAATCCATTGGCAGAATGTCAAGAAGAAAATCAGGAGGAACAGGCCAAATACATACACATGAGATAAAAAGGGCATTCTTGGCCAATTTGTGTGCTGCATGGTTAGAAACACGAGGTGTTCAACGAACCAAGCAGTGAGGGATCCTAATTAAGAGCAGTTTTAAATCTTCAATGAAATGCCTAATCTTCCAAGGAGAAGGAGAATCAGGCTACAACAAACTTTGAAACAGTAAGATAATCACCCTCGAGTACAAGTGAAGAGGCTCCCAACTCCAAAGCAAACTTGAGAGCTAAAAGGGCCTATTAGGTGTTGGTTGTAGTTTCAGCTAACTGTGGGTGCATGCAAAGTAGATAAAATATTCTAGAAAAGAAGATCTACATGCAGTAGATTGAAGTAAGGCAGAGAGCAAAATAGAGCAAGAGAAAGGTTGAAATCTTCTTCTGACGTATTCTGGTTTATTTTTGCAAAGAGTAATACAAGAAAATGGTTTCTTGAGCAAGCCAAATAAAAGCTTCTTTTATACACTTCTTACAACTAACCCATGTTAACAAAAAGTGAAAAAAATACCCAACTAAAATTATTTTTTACATGTTGTAGAAGAAGACAAAAGAAACATAAAACGTTTTAACTTTTCATTAATACATTAACCGTAACATTCTCCCCCTTAATGTGTTGTTGTTGGATTTCTAATGCTTCTCTTTGTTCTTCAAATTTTTCTCTTGCAAATGGCTTGGTGAAAATATTAGCTAATTGCTCTTGGGTCCTATAATATACTAGTTCCACTTCTCTATCTTTAATGGCATCATGAATGAAGTGATGTTTGAGAGTAATGTGCTTTGTTCTGCTATGAAAAACTTGGTTCTTTGACATAGCAATGGTAGAATGGATCATTGTTGCACCCTCTTGTTTCTCATTAATATTTTCCATAATTCTTCTAAGCCAAAATTTGAGATGTTGCCATTGAGACTGAAACATACTATGCTTATACTGAAGATTGAGCCATTCATTTTTTTTTCTTTAAGCACCAAGAAAAAACACCACTACTAAAGGAAAAACAATAACTAAAGGTGCTCTTCATGTCATCGATACATCCTCCCCAATCACTATAACAAAAACCAATCAATCTTACTTCATTTTCTTTGTCATATTTAATTCCATGATCCGTGGTGCCTTGCACATGCCTTAACACTCTTTTTACAATTCCAATATGAATGTGATTAAGGTTGTTCATAAATTTGGATAGTAAGCTTGCAGCAAACATAATGTCTGGCCTTGTAGTAGTGAGATAGAACAAGTTTCCAACCAAGCTTCTATACAAGGTTTCTTCCACCTTTTTACCACCATCTTCCTTTATTAATTTCTCATTGACAACTAGTGGAGTAGCTACAAGTACGCATCCAAACATTTTGAATTTTTTAAGAACTTTTTCAGTATACTTTGACAAATGAATACATCATCATTACCTTGATAAATTTCAAGAAAGTGATGTAACAGTTCCATATTACTCATTTCATATGTTCTCACCATTTCATTTTTGAAATCTTCAATCATTTTCATATTATTTCCAATAAAAATTAAGTCATCAACAGAAATAGCAACAATGAGAATATCATCCATACCTTGTTTCTT